GTTGTATTAGTCGATGAACTTTCTTGATATGTTTTTGAGATGTCCGGACACTCAATAGTTTTAATGATTCTCCGAAGTAACGTGATAGTTTCATTTATAGACCTGTTCTTCATAAATCCCGTTTGTTCACCTGCGATATAATTAGCTAATACAGTTTGGAATCTTGCTTCGAAAAACGAAGACAATAAGCGCAAACTGCAATTAATTAACGAAAATCACGTGAAATTGCAACTGGCGACAAAATTCCAAAATCCCAAATCAAAGAAACAGGTCCCTTGGCCCAGTTGGTTAAGGCGCGGTGCTAATAACGCCGAGATCAGCAGTTCGATCCTGCTAGGGACCATTCTTTCATTGGGCGTGTGGCGTAGTTGGTAGCGCGTTCGCTTAGCATGCGAAAGGTCTCCGGTTCGACTCCGGACTCCTCCATTTTTGATTTTTTGAACCAACCAGCAACTGAATGGTTTTATTTTTGGTATTGCTGGTTAGTGGAGATCGAAGGCTAACCAAGGAATATGAAAGTTTGATATTTTTATTTTCTGTGTGTGTAGTTTTCTGTCATTTTTCGAGGATAAATGGGATTCAAAAATTTTTGAGGGAAATATCTTCATTCAATATTGCTTCGCGGTAAGTTCGGATTGACTAGTTGTACGCTTAAGAAGCTCTAAATATGAACCTACAACAGTCCAGAGACTTTGCTTTCACAATTTTTCAAAGATTCTGGCTCCAGAGATAAAAAAAGGATGGTGGAATAAAAATTTGCAGCCATTGGTGATTTACAAATAAAAGAAAAAAACGATTACAAAACCCACCATTGCATATCGAGACGAGTAATGATCAACTGCAATATCTACAAAATAATTCTTTTCAACTTCTATAATTTTCAATAAGCATAACCTATTTAAAAAACAAAACACCACTAAAATACAAATAAAGAAAAACTATGAAATTTGATTAAATAACAACCTTATCAGCCAATGATTTCTTATAGTCCAAAATAGAACCTTCCCATCTAGTAGCTGTCTTATTTTCAATAACAAAAATGTCTTTGGCGACTTTATCCAACAATCTGAAATCATGGGAAACAACGACAACACCACCATTGAATTGATTAATAGCCTCAGCAAGGGAATCAATAGTAGATAAATCTAAACCGTTAGTAGGTTCATCCAATAAAATCAAGTTTGGAGATTCGATAGCCAAAAGGGCGAAAACGACACGAGATCTTTGACCTTCTGATAAGGTGGCCATTTGAGAAGTTTGACCTTCACCAGTTAAACCGAAACGACCTAATTGTTGTCTCCAATATTGATAATCTTGAGAAATATTTGAGAATTTATCACGAACGAATTCTAATGGGGATTTGGTTAAATCTAATTGATCTTGTGAATGTTGGGAATAGACACCTAATTTGATATGAGTATGTTGAATGACTCTACCCTTTTGGGGTTGTAATTTACCTTGGAATAATTTTAATAAAGTGGATTTACCAACCCCATTTGGACCAACTAATGCAACTCTTGAATCCATATCGATACCAATATCTAAATGTTCATATAAGTTATCTTCGTCTTTACCAGAATAAGAGAATGACATATCATCAAAGGCCAAGACTGGTGGAGGTAATTTTTCAACATCTGGGAATCTGAAAGTGAATACTTTATCTGGAACAACTGGTTGAATCAATCCATCAGCTTCCATCTTATCTAAAATCTTTTGTCTAGATTTGGCTTGTTTGACCAAGTTAGCATAAGTACCAGCTGATGCAATAAACTTCTTAATATGAGCAATTTCTTCTTGCTGTTTGTTATATTGTTTCATTTGGTTTGTTTCCAATTCAGCTCTGGTTTTAACATAAGAATCGTAATTACCACCGTATGTAGTTAATGCTTTCATTCTCATATCAATCATGTTTGTACAGACACCATTAAGGAAATCTTGAGAGTGGGAAACCAAGATTAAGATTCTGTCAAATCTCTTCAAGTATTCTTCTAACCAAACACAGGCACCTAAATCCAAATGGGCAGTTGGATCATCTAATAATAATAAGGTTGGTTTGACGAATAAGGCTTTAGCTAAAGCAACACGCATTCTCCAACCCCCGGACATGTCCTTGGTCTTCTTGTTGATGGTGACGGAGTTGAAACCCAAACCAGTTAAGATAACCGCAGCTCTTGATTCAAAAGTAGCTGGGTCCATTTCATCAATTTTTTCATAGATACCGTCTAATTGAGGACATTCTGGACCTTCCTTGACAATAAGATCTTCAACCAATTGTTCTAATCTTTGCATTTCATGTTCAGCTTCTCTAACAACATATTCCAATGCAGAAAATTCAGTTGGTCCAGCTGGTTCATTTAATAAATAAATATCAATGACTTCTGGAATTGGGAATTCTCTTGCTGCAAGTGATTTCAATAAAGTAGATTTACCACAACCATTTTCACCTAATAAACCATATCTTCTACCATAATTCAATTCTAAAGTAGAATCTTGAATTAAAACTTTACCATGGAATAAAAGAGAAACAGAAGATAATTTAATATCTCTGGAAGTTTCCAAGGAATCTAAAATACCAGTGGTAACTCTATCAGATAAACCATATTCATCTTGTTGTAATTTCAACTTGGCAATTTGAGTTTCAGTATCTTCAACATCAGATTCTTCAGCATCTTTAGCTGCTTGTTTCTTTGTCTTTTTGGTAGATTTACCAGCAGCAGATTTCTTTGCTTCTCTTTCCAAACGCTTTTGTTCTCTCTTGGCTTTTGATGCAGAAACAGACATAGTGGAATTACTATTTGTATTGAAGTAAGAGAAGAAGAAGAAGAAGAGAAGAAGTGTTTGTTAAAATTTTTTTTCTTTAACGGCTTCATTGTATTTTTAATTAACAACGTTGGAAAAAAATTATTTTTTTTGGTGCATCTTCTCTCAATTTCTTTTTTTTCTTTCTGTTTTTTTTGAGATGAGTGGAAGAAGCAGCTCAAGAAGAAGTTAAAGCCTTTCAGCTAATAGAATGATGTAGAATTGTAAGATTATAAGGGAGATGATCTATCAATTGGCCCCAATGTATAGTACAAGAGAAATACCATATCTACTTGTTAAAGATACTCTCTATGAGCTTTCGATCACATAAATAGCAGAATAATCTAGAATTTAGTTGGTCACGATCCATTCCATAGTGAAATCATCCCGATTAGGAAATATTGTCACATGACCACATTATAGAAAATATGCCGGACAAGTATACAGTTATCCCAGTTACGTCATCGATCCTTAACCATTTCAATCACAAATAGTAGAGGGTTGCATGAGCATCAAATCAGGCAGAAATAGATCACTCTTCTCAATAGATAAGCTCTGTTCTCAGAAATTGAGTTAAACTTCAAGAAATCTAATTTCTTGACAGGGCCAGGTGTGAATATTTCGCTTTCTTTAACCGATGGACGATCTATTGCTTGATTCAATGGGTTTATCCCCAGGGTACGGTAGCAACTGAAAATAAGTATTTGTTGCAGTTGAAAAATTTGCCATCAAATCAAGACTAATCTTATTTTTTTGGTGTAGTGAATGAAATTTTGTATGAGAGAGAAATCTTGGGACTGAAGAAAAACCCATGATTTTTTTTGCCATCCCTAAATCCCCCCAAATTCCATCCCCTTTCCACATTGTACAATAACAATTACTTTGCCTTCCTTTCTCTCTCTTCTTTCTTCTCTTTCGTAGTCTCTTTCTAAATTGCTATATCAATTGGACGCTAACAAGTATTAAGTCATTTAGAGTATCGTTTACCATTCCCTCCCCCCCAGTTTTAAGATTTCATAAATTTTGATTTAATCTTTTCTTTTTTACAACCACCAAGATTTTATCAAAAAATCATCCAATTGGCAAAAAACCCAAACAAAAAACACGAAGTTAGAAAGTTCCTTTTTCTTTTCTTATCAATTAATTAAAAAGATAACACCATTTGATTATTAAAAGTTTATTAAATTTTATAAAATATGATTCCTCCTACAGATCAATTGAAAAACAATAAGAATCTTAATATTCCTAAGGTCAATGTTACAGCACCTATCCCCATTAAAACTCATTCTACTTTAGGCACAATGTCACCAATCCCTAGAGTAACTTCACTGTATCAAGTAAGACCTCACATCTTTGATAGTGAAGAAACATTACGTTCATTTACACCAACTACAATCAAAAAGGTGCATAGGGTTGCTGCAAGAAGACCATCTTATGGAACAATTGTTTCTAGTAGAGAACAACATTATAATTTAGATTATCCTAACGATCCAGAGGAATTATATAAATTACAATTAGATCCAACATCTAGATTTTTTGCTAGATCAAGACCAAGAACATTGAACTTACCTAAAATGTTACCTTATAAAATTGAAAGTCCCCCTGAACAAGCAAAATTTTTAAGTCATATCGTATCTCATCTTTATATTGCTATAAAGACTCTTGATATCCAAGGGTCTCTTTCTGTTAGTGCGAAGGACTTGGCTGCTTTAAAAGATGCATCTGGCCTATCTGATGTTGACTTGGCTTTAGAAACTAATTTATTCGAAATGAACCCGACTGATTTACATACTGATGATGATGAAACAATGACAGAAACCGAATTTGAGAATTCAGATAGTGAAGATGAAGAAGAAGAAGATGCAGAAGAAGATGATGAAGATGGTAATAAAGAATCAACACAACAACATAAAAAATCACCCAAATCTGCAGCTGTTGTCGGAGTAAGAACTTGGACTCATGAGTTGATGGTTTGGCTTAAGATGAAGTATGACATGCCAATTAGTTTAAGATTGAGTTTATCTAGAGTATATTACGCTATATGCCTCAGTAGAGGTCAACATGTTAGTCTCAAGACATATGTCAGGGTTTTTGAATTATTAACTAAGGATCAAAAATTGTTATATGATGAAGGACTAAGATTGCCTTGGGAAAACTTATACAAAGAATTGAACCATCATTTGCCCGCAGTAGACACTGGTTTAGTACCGTTTGAAAAGAAGGATCATAAGCAATTGTTAAGGTTGGCTGCAAGAGCAACATTCTTTTTTGACAAAAAATGTTTACCAATAATGTATCAAAAGTTAGTTAGTCAATTTTCAATTGTTAATTCATCAATGGTAGTGTCATCGTTAGCCATTTTACCTTCATTCTTTACTCCAGAGGGTCCAGATAGTGAACATGATATCCGTCACTATATTCATTCGTTATTTTATATGTGGTTGAAATTGAATAGAATCCAAGGATTTGATGCGCAAGTTACATCTAGGTTAGGAGTGTTCTCAATGGCAGCATTTTCACTTTTAAATGATGACCCTTCATCAGCATCTTATTTAAAATTGGGCAAATTTGGTTTATATACTAAAGATCAAATGGAATTCATGGTAAACACCTTAATTAACAGTTTAAGCATTATGGATGAAAAATACTCCTCAATGAAAACCAAATATTTCCATGGATTTGCTTCAGCAATCATCTTTTCAATGACTGGAGATAGTGCATTAGAAGAAGGGGGAATTATTTATTATTTAAAGATGTTAGTAAATGCTATTGAAAGTTATATCCATCCATCCAATACTGGTGATTGGACAAGACCAATTTCTAAATTAGTCATTGCATTAGTTTATCAATTTCATAAAAGATATAACTCCGAAACTCAAACAGATGGATTTAATCATCACATCCCTGAAGAACTTAAACTTTCTAGAAAAGTCGTTAAAGAATTCGTTTCAGTTTTCTTACCAGTTGTTAAAATCGGTATTCAATCGAAAAAGACAAATGCGACAGAAGATTACCTTTCTACATTACAATTATTAGCATTTTTAGAACCAGAATTAGTGCTTGAGAATACACTTTTGGATATTTATGAATCTTTGGAAGGGGTAATTTCAACCCATAGAGTTTCAATTGCACTTAGATCCATTGATACATTATCTAGATTCTTTGTTTCCACCCCAATATATCGTGTACACGTTACTAGATTATTACTGTTGGCATTACCCGGTATAGATTCCAATGATTTAGAAAAGACAATTCAAACCTTTGAAGCAATTGCATCTGTTGCCAACTATGCACCAATTTATGATTTAACTAATGGAGATGGAAATCCAACCTTTGCTCTTGAATTTACTCAGGATCATTTAGAATATCTAAAGAGAAAAATGTATGATGGTGATATGGAAGAGTTTCAAGTTGATAAAGAAACCGAAATTGAAGCATTAAAATCCTCAACATCGGCATTTTTGGATTTATTGAAAAGTTTGACTCAAAGATTAACATTATTATTGGAAAATTTACCAGATCCTTCCAAAAGTAATGGAATTGAACATGATTTAGCCACTTCATTACCAAAATTCTTTTATATCATTTTTGAATCTACTTCAGATGACTTAATTAAACGATTTGAAGAAGATTTCTTTGAATTTATATTCAATAATACTTTCCATACAATTGCAAATGTGGTTGGAGAAATTGCCGGTGGGATAATTAAACGAAATCCAAAATCTTTCAAGAAAAATGCCATAATTCTCATGGAAAAGATCAGACAAGAAATTGAAGAAAATGGTGCTGGTGGTTCAAGAACTGGCGTAGATATTGTTCCACGTGATCAGAGTTTATATTGGAATTTAACAATTTTGAATGAATGTATTGGAAATGCCGGTGAACAACTTGTGGATATGGCAGAAGAATTCACTGAGTTATCTTATTTCTTAATGGAGAAGGTTAGAGGGCCGGTTGTTTTTGCAAGTACTTTCTTAGTTAATCAAATCTTACAATCGGTGACTAAGATTAGAATTAAGGAATGTAGATTGATTGCACCTGAGTATGAAAAGAGGTATGGTGTGACTGAGAAATGTTGGGGTGGATTCTGGAATCACGAAGAAAGATTTTCAGAAGAGAATACAACTTTTGATTGGTTTATTCCTACTGAGAGAGAAGTTTCATTTGCGATTGAAGTTTTTAATGGTCATGCAACTAAAGCATTAGAAAATATCACGAAGTTAATGAATGATTTTGATAAAGAAGAAGCAAAAGATGTTAAATCTTCTATGAAAACAACTGATGAATTGAGAATGAATTTATTATACTTGTCGTATTCATTATCTGGTGTTTCATACTTGTTAGATCCATGTTTTGAAGAAGATATTCCAAAATTAAGTTCTGAATCAGTATCTATTCAACAACGATTATTATTATTAAAAAGAATCAGAGCTCTTAAAGGAGTTTCCACTCAGAAGGATGTATTATATGAAGAAAATGTTCTGGAAAACATGTCAAGAATCATGAATGATTTGAGCAATGAGGATTTAATTGATTATATGGTTGAATTTGACAAGATTAATGAATATTTGAATGAACAAGCAGAACAAGAGAATGAAACTGGTATCGGTAAAGACGATATGGATGATGCCCGTCGACCAAAATCACCAAAGTCTCCAGATTCAACTGATCATGGGCATTTATTTTCAAAGTTTTCAGGACATTCTATAGATATAAGTAGACCACAATCTGTTGCTCCAGGGTTTGATGAATCAGGGAGAGATACGCCCCTGATTGATGGTGTTCATATGTCAAGTATGAATCCTGCAATTACGTTCAGGGAAAGAAGTTTATATACTTCGAATTATTTCTTTGGTAATGATACGGAACATCGTAAATTCCGAGATTTGTATTTAAAGATTCATAAGACCAGACATTTGATTGGAAGAAGTTTGCACGTTATTTTCAAGTTTTTGGTTGATAATTTTAGAGATAATACTAAAGTATTTAAGAATTTCTTATATGTTGTGAATATTTGGTTTTCGAATGTTGGAAGAGAAAGAACCCTTGATCCAAGTCATGCTAGAATCAGTTATGGATATGTCAGTTATATCCAAACTATCAATAGAATAAGAAAACCATTTACAAGAATTGCTATTGGAGCAAGGTTGGAAGCTTATCATCTGTTTAGAGTTGCATTGCATGCTACTTCAAGAACTGAAACTAATTTGGATAAGTTATTGTTAGAAGATGTAGTTAAATTATCAGTTTCTACATATTCAAGTATTGCCCAAAATGCCCAAGGGATCTTAATTGATGGAATGAAGAGATTGAATGGATCATATAACTTAATTATCAAATCAGCATTTAAATACTTGAACAAAGCATTAGAAGCAGGTGATCATAAGAAGATCGAAAGCGGTTTGAGTATTTTTACACTTCGAAAGATTAGATCTAAGGTCCAAAATGATTTCTTTAATGTTCAAAAATATGTGGAATTATTACATCGTTGTTCTGCTGTTGATAATGTGGAAGTCCATTCTATGGCCCAGTCATTATTTAGTGGTATCACGAAATCTATCACTCCACCAAGTAGTGTTTGTATTCTTGACCATGATGCTATCGACACAATCAGACCTCCTGATCAATTCATTGACTTGGAAATTAAAGCTGTTAAGTTGGCCAAAGAAAAGAAGAGAAAGCTTTATTTTGAAAAATTGGATAAATTACAAGAAAAGGTTTTAGAACATGAAAAGACGAATAGTCATTGGAAGACTACATTGTTGAATTTGGATTTATTAGTTAATATTCAAGCATATTTGGAAGTTGATACAAGAGGCGACACTCTACAATTATTATCCAGAGCCGCATCGACTGAGCATCCTACGATTTCAAGGCTTGCCTTGAAAGGTATGACCAGGATTATCAATAAGTTAACAGTTCTTCATGGATTTGAATATGAGTTTGAAAAAGCATATGACTTGTATTATATCCCCAAGAATTTGAAAGTTCTTGATACCAAACCCCATAATGGTGTTTCTTATACTGAAACTTGGAAACAAGAAATGAAAAATACCGAACATCCTAATTTCTATGTTGATCATAAAGCCAACACCGGTTGGTTATTCTGGGATGAAAAGATGTTGGCAATTTCCCAAACACCATTCTATAAACTTAATTTGAAAGAGAATGACGCACAAGCATTATTAGGTTTCACGAAAACTATTAATAGAGATTGGTTCCTTAGAATTGTGAAATTATGGGTAACTGATAACGATGCCAATTCTGCTTTCCAAGGTACCGATGTGTTTGTGACAGCCGCATTAGTTTTATTGATTTCAAATGATTATACACGCAACTTTTCCTATGATGATTTATTAAGTGTTGTTGATGCCATTTATGTTTCTGATGATAAGAGTGCACATATTGTTACATGTGAATTATTAGCTGGGATTTTATTAGGATCAAAATTCATGGATCCAGAATATAGTAAGAAACGTGACGATTTTGTATGCAGTTATTTAAGAAGAGTTCTTAATCAAGATTTATCACCCGATACAATGGGTATTTGGAACATTTTCGCCTGGTGGTTACCTGCACATATAGATGGTAGAAGATTTCCAAAGGTTATGAATGAAATTATTGGGTTTCAAATTGATCCAACTTCCGATTCAGCATTTAAAGAATCTACAAGAGTAAGTTATATTAGATCAACTGTATCTTCTATCTCATGGAGTCTTCCTGAACCAGATAAACTTTTAGAATTATGTATTATGAATATTAATCATAGGTATGCTGCTGTGAGATCACAAATTGGTTCATTGATTGCTGTTTTGTCATTCCCTTACTATGCTGAAAATGTTGAAAGTAGTCGAGAATTTATTGAACGTACTAATAAGATGTCCGGATTGATGTTATATGAAGGTAGTGATCCTGGTAAGTTGTTGAATTTGGTTCCTAGCTTGTTTAATCAAATTGAGATTTGGAGACAAGAAGTTGTTGGATTGACTCCACAAGAAATATTAAAATCCAATTATATCTATACTTCAACAACAGTTTTGACATGGTTAAGGCAGGTATTAAGTACAAGTATTGCTGTATTGTTTGAAAAGTATGTAACTACCCATTTGGTTCCATTTTTGCTTGAGTTAATTCATTTGAAAGAAGTATGTCAATTAGGAAGTATTGATCCAATCACGGTGTTAAAGAAGGTTTCACAGATTCCATTTACTGTCAAACGTTTAGATGAAATTATTTCAATGTTGGAGGATTATTCTAAGAAGGATTTAAATCTCGTTCAAACAATCGTTATGGGTGAATTTACAGAAACTGTCTTCTTTAAGAATCTTTTTAAATTATCGAGAGGACAACGAGCAAGGGTTGTTAGATTAACAAATAGCTTGTTATATCACAAACATGTTGGAGTTAGAGAAGCCGCGGCATCTACATTGTCTGGATTAATTCATATTTCCCCACCTGATGAAGTTGAAGAATTGGTTGTTCAATATAGTAAATCTTATGGTAAAGAATTAGATAAGATTAGAAAGATCTATCGGAAATCCGGATATAAGAACATTAATCAAGAAGATTCTATTATCTTACATGGAGCTACTTTGGGATTAGGTGCGTTGGTGCATGCATTTGCATTCTCATCCCCCCCTCCAAAATGGATTCCGGGAATCTTGACCACTTTGGCAAACAAATGTACTGGTGTTCCTGGATTAGTTGGTAAGACAGCAAAAGAAACATTGGGTAGGTTTAAGAAAACAAGACAAGACAGTTGGCATATTGATAGTAAGGTGTTTAATGAAGATCAAATACAAGATCTTGAAGGAGTACTTTGGAAGAGTTATTTCATTTGATTTTTTTAAAAGAAGAAGTTTACATTTCATTTGTATAATTAGTAGTAATTAGTAGTTTTAGTATAGAACTTTTATACACAGATATTAAGTAAATGTGCTCGCATTAAATTATCTAACAAACGGAATTCTTTAATGAATTTATTAAAATATTACAAATCTAGACAATTTTACATAAACACAGGACTAATTAATTAATATTAAATTTATATATGGGGTTATTGTTGTTGTTGTTCATATTATGTCAAACTGCTAACTTCAAACAAAAAATTGGAAAAACTTATAACTGCTGTTCCTGATAAATCTTTATCATATTTCTTAAACACATCTGTCAACTTTCTTAAATATACCAACAACTCAATAAATGAGTCAAACTTTAATCTCCCTACTCTACCTTCATCTCTTTCACTATATTTCAGGAATAAATGTAATACTAGATCTGTATCTAATTTATAACCTATTTGTTCCAACACCTTTTGGAATTCACCAAAGGATATATCACCGGATTTATCAGTATCTGCTTGTACAAATAACTTTTTATATGCTGATAAATATTTCCATAATGATACAAATTGTTCAAAATTCAAACTTTTACTACTAGATTCCGAACTAAATAAATTAATCATTAATTTAACAGTAGAATCTTGAAATCTAGTACGATCAAAATTTAATAATGCATAAGATAATTCTTTGGCTGAGATTCTTCCTGAATGATCAACATCCACTTTTTCAAATACACTTCTTAATTCCATTTCTAGTTTCTGTTTTGATGAAACTGTTTTCTCTGGTAAAGATTCTCTAGATCTATTTACAGATCGTGGAGGTGAACTTCCATAGCTCTGTTTCCTTGCCTTTGGAGGAATGTGACCGTCATTTTGATAAACTTGTTGTGGTATTTGTTGTGGTGCGACTGCGACTTGATATGCTGGTTGTTTCTGAGGTGGTGGGACTTGTGATTGATAACTAGTATGCATGGGTGTTACCGGAGGTGGTGGCTGATTATAACCTTGGGGTGGATTCTGATAAACTGGTTGTTGATATGAAGGTTTAGGTGAAGAATGCTGATGGTGAATTGGTTGTTGATATGGCGCATGTGGGGGTGGGGAGCGACCAGCGTGGGCTGTTTGAGAGTTGTAGTATTCTGCTGGGGTTGGTTGTGCATAAGCTTGAGGTGGACGTGCTTGTTGATATTGTTGATGTGATTGAGACGACTGATTACTTCCATGTCTAGGACCTGGTGGTGGTCTAGCCTGTGGCTGAGGTTGTTTTCGTGGTGTTGATGACAGACTCAGAGCATAGCTTGTTGCTTGCTGAGGAGTTGGAAACAGTGGCAAGTCGTTCATTGGGAGGGTTACTTAGTTGCTTAGTTGTCAATGAATATGCTATGGATGTAACTAATTAATGTGGTTGAAGTTTCCCTAATAATTGGATCTTTTTTTGTTTCCCATAACGAGTGAGAGAGAGAGAGAGAGAGAGAGAGAGACATCATTCATTCAAGAATTCAACTCCCTGCCGAATAACGGCAAAAGGAAAAAACTTTTTTTTTTTATGTTTATTTTTTTTCGTGTAAAGGCTAAAATTAGATTAGAGATCTCACGTGATAACAAATTTACGAATAAAACACAATGAATTTGACACAGAATAGATGGAGAAGTTTCGGTAGCGATTCTGTCACTAAAACCAACAATTGAAATGCATAATTCATATATAGAAGAACATACTACACATCTATTTCTGTTGTAATCTTCAATAGGTTAGAAATGTCCTTATTAGTTTAATAAATAAAAATAAAAATATTGTGAATTTCCGTACTGATATAAAAAAATAAGCTTCAATTGGCTTAAATTCATGTAGTAATCCCAGATGGGGGGATATTACACACTGATTCACTTAACATACAATTCAAATTAACCAAAACCAAAAAAAAGTGATCATCTCTTTATTCGCTGTGACACTCTTCGCCCACGAAAACTGAAATTGTCCCTAATGAAAAATAAAGGCTCCTCTCTTCTTCTTGGGACATGTGGGTGCAATTATTTTTTTGGGAATTTATTTTAAGTTTACTTAGCCAACTTTCTTAAAAGTTCCAATATTTCAATAAAACAATCAAATTTTAAAGATCCAGCTCCACCATTTGTTTTATGACTATATCTTAAGAAAAGATCTAAAGTAATATCAATCTCCAAATGAAATTCAATTTGTTCCAAAATCCTCAAAAATTCACCAAATGAAATATCTCCAGACATATTCATATCAGCTTGAACAAATAACTTTCTATATGTAAGTAAATATTCCCATAATTCAACAAATTGTTCAAAATTTATTGTTCTTGTCTTTCTAGAACCAAATAAATGAATCAAAAGTCCAATGGTTGAATTTTGAAATCTGGTTTTATCGAAATTACTTAAAGCATTTCCTAATTCTCGAGCAGAAATCTTACCAGACTTGTTGGTATCTACACTATCAAAAAGTTCTCTTAAATCCATATCAAATACAGTAGTATTAATCTTTTTCTCAACTTTTTTCACTTCCTTTTTGGGTTCTGGTGGTGGCTTTTCAACTACAGGTTCTATTTTAACTGGTTGATCACATAGTAAATATGTATGACATGATTGACTTCCAGCATATTGAAATGGTACATAATTCACTGCTGGCTCATTTTCAACTTCTACTTGGGGCACGAATTGAACAGGATTGGATGGCGCACCCTTGGAATCAGCGACTGCATAAAGAATTTTTGGTGGAGATTTGTAAACAACTTGACCATTTGAACCTATACTGGTAGCAGCATCCTTTGGGGAAGGTTGAGGAGGTAATTCGTTTGATGTCATTGTTGATGTTCGAAATTCAATTGATGTGATTCTTGCGGATACCTACTCCAATTTATATTTCCAATTTTGAAACTTTAAAATCTGTTATATTGTGTAACAAGTTAATTAGAATTTCTGCGTGTCTTAATCATCACATTGTTGTCAAGTCGAGCGGCCGCCTTTTTCAACGTGCAACAATGGAAACTTCATCAAGCTCTGAACAAGCAAACCATTTAATCAATATATTGTCTCTCCCACTTGCGACTGTTTAGATCAAGTAGGTGTAGAATATCTTGATGCTTGATCAACTTTGAAAGTCAAAACTGGCCATAGATTTTACAAATACAGCTCTACTAAGGACGAAATGATTGTCATATCAACTAATATGAACACAAATGTAAATTGCTTGTCGTTGGGGATTGACCCTGAAGCTCATGGATTGATTGGTTGTAGAGGGTTCAATATAGTTAGTTAATTGCAGTGAGATATCGTGGTCTTGCGCTAGATATCTCATAATATCTCGATTCTCTAATTTTAATTGCTAAGTAAATATCTCAATTTGCAACTTTACTTTTACAAATTCTTCTACATTTTCATACAATAATTCGATATTATACAGATAAACCTTTTTTTATATATTAGAAGTTATAAATGGGGGCATTCTCCTTTCTACAAATGAAGAAAGGAAAACTATGAAAGTAATCACTATGCAATGACAACCTAAATTTTTTTGAAAAAGAACATAAATAAAATAAAATCAACACAACTTGTAATACAAAAGGGGGGATTAGGAAAAAGTTATGAACAATTATATATTCAACCATAATAAACGATATATAATAAAAATACACTGTCGAATATCACCATTCCATTATATGCTTCCTCCTTGTTTCCCTCGATTGATCCAAGGTGCAAAAAATCTCATTATCACATTTATTCTCTAGCTCTTCTTCTGTAACCTTCAGAACCACCTCTTCTTGGGGCACCACCTCTGGATGGTCTTGGTCTTTCAGCTGGAGCTTGCTTCAATCTGGTTAATGGTAAAATACCTTCTGGAATGTTTAATTCAGTTCTTAAGAATTCAACACCTTCGTCAGTTAAGGTGTAGTAGTAGTATTGCCATGAGAATTGGGTCTTGACGAAACCTTTAGAGGTTAAGGATTGTAAAGCCTTGATGACATATAAGTTTCTAGTGTCAATTTCATCGTGCTTTGGTTGGTTGAAGTCCTTCTTGGCAACAACGACACCTTCTATAGAATGTGTTAGTATATATAACTCTTGCGTGATAATTACTTTGAGGGATGTATTTCAATAGTAAGAAGGGAAATCATCTGGGTTGTATTTGAGTGGTACGCATGTTGGTCCTCTTTATTCTCAACTTAATTTCGATATCTATCCCGAGGTATTCAATATACGAGTAGTAGTTCAAATCGCGTGGTTGTATCAAATGACGTGATATATTAATTTTCTAGAGGCGCCGTTCATTTTGTAGTGGTGATTTCGTTCGTTCTAGTTGAATTCTTCAAGGTCATTGGTTCATGATATTGCGTTTCATCAAATGCGATTCTTTCCCCTCAAATTTATCTATTGAAAGTCCCTCCTTTCCATTCGTTCTCGTGTGTTACATACCTTGGAAGAGGTATTGGTGGATCTTCTTTCTTTCTTCTCTTGGAATAAGCATGGTTAATACTATAAGACTCTGATGATTCTATTAAACTAAAAGAAAGGGTTAAAAAATTCTTTAGGAGGTTTTTTTTTCACTATGTTGGAATTTTTTTTTCCAGTAACACCTCTCACTATGCAGGAGATTTTGTTAGTACCAAAGAAGGTTTCTCATACTTAAGATTTTTTCCCAGTCTGTTACTAGGTTTAGGATTACGTAAGCCAAACATTTTTTCTATTCTGTGCGAACAAATTTTTTGTCTTGCATGTAAAACCGGAGTCGTGCAATTGAGTAAAAAAGTTGGAAGATTCATTTTCCATCACGTGCCAAGATAGGGTTGAAGCCCTAAAAAATTTATACCCCAGATATCTCTCACCTGCATTTCAGTTTTTTGCAACCAAGAGGACTGTTGATCAAAACTATCACTATTTACCAAAGATGAATTTTAATTGATCAATTATTAAAAATTAGATATATCATTAAATTATTAAAGTTTATGTCGCGAAAGTTACTATACACATTAAAAGATCATATTATTAGTTAAAAGGTAGGTTGAGGTTCTTGTTTAGACTTTCCCTGAAATCTAGAAGTGAATCCAGAGAAACCTTGAGCAACATAAACACTTAAGGATTCACGTTGCTCTTTCTTTTCAACTTCTTCATTACTTTGTTCATCACCCAATTTGTGGTCTCTTAAGAAGAAACCAACAATGATCATTGGAGCAGTGAAGATTAAGGCAATCATGATCAAAAGTCTTTGAACATCACGATAAGCAAGAACAACTTGTTGTCTTTCTGGAGTATCCCAAGCATACAGAGCAATGAAGGTATACGGATCACCATATACAGAAGTAGCTAAAGTGGAGTTGCCAGTATGTTGTAAAATCTTTTCATACAACTTTTGAGACCAAACGGCACCAGCAATAGATGCACCAACAGCTGAACCAATTCTGTAGACAGTTAAACCTAATGAAATAATAACAGCCATATGTTCATGGGTAGTACAACTTTGTAAGGAGACGTTACATGGATATGAAAAGAACGTAAGACCAAAACCTAATAAACAGACACCGGCAATGATACCACCGTAAGAAGAAGTACCAGATCTGAAATGGTATAAGAGACCCAAGGCAACCATCCACATGCAACAACCGAAGATAATAAAACCTTTCAATTTCTTCCACTTAACAATGAATAAACCGAAGAAGAAACCAGCGACAACGGAAACGAAGGAACTCAATGAAGTAATTCTGGTAGCGGATTTCATAGTTTGATTAATAGCCACAAGCAAAACGGTATAAAGGTATGTTGATTCAATGGAACTAATAAAGTTCAATAAGAATGAAATAGTCAAAGCAGACCAAATACCCCGATCCTTCAATAAATGGAATGGAGCAACTGGATGTCTGGCACCCCAGTGTTCCCAACAGACAAAGACTGGTAATAAAACACCTCCAACGACAATTGGAGCAATGATATAGCCTTTTTTCCATTTAGAATGGATACCACCAGCAAGAGTTAATGGAACTAAAAGACAACCTAAACAGACAACTAAGAGTAACAAACCAATAATATCTAATTGCCAGAATAAGTACTTTGTGAACCCCCACCATCCTAATTCTTGGAATTTAGTTTCCCTTTGCTTAAAGATTCTCCATTCTTCAGTCTTGCCAGCCTTCCATCTCATATGAAGCATGCAACCAATCAATGGGAGACAAGCCAATGGGAAAATGAAAGCCCACATACCGACACCCCATTTCCAATTAGTACCAACGGCAGCAGTGACATTACCGGAGATCCAGGTGTTAATGATGAATGGGAAGGTTGGAACGAATAAGTAGAATAAACGCCATTTCAAACTGGAGAAATCAGCCAAGATACACATGACAATAAGAATAACTCCAGTATAACCAATTTGGTACAAGACAGAACCAGCAGCATATTTTTGAACATTGGTAGCTTGAGATTCAATGATAGTACCAACAACGTAGAATAAAATGGACACAATGAAGATTTCCAAACGACCAAAGACATCAGAAAGTCTAGCATAGACTGGTTGACAAGCAGCACCGGCAACAGAAGTAACAACAGCAACAGTGGTTAACAAGGAATGTTCAGAATAGGAAGCTGTTGCATAAGCAGTATAAACCCAACGGGTAGCACCATCTAAACCATACGCATAACCAACAATGAATGCAGAAATTAATAAAACAACGTGTAACCATTTGTTACCATTCCATTGTGCAGCTAAGATCTCAGCTTTCCTAACCCCGATTGATTTTTCTTCAGTGTCAGTTTCAGTGTCAGAGATCTTTTGATCAGATTCTTGGTCAAGATAATCTCTCTTGGAAATGTTTTCTCTTTCTTCGTTAAGTGTGTTTGTTACGTCATCGGAGGATGCACGCTCGATACCATCTCTTTGTTGATCACTCATCTTAGATATTGATTAGAGTGGGAAATAGAATTATAAGCAGGGGAGTCAGGAAGATGTCATGGGATATTTATACCTTTGCAGAAGATGCTGCTGTCCTAGTCAGATTAATCTCATCATGCTTTGTAAAAGAAAAAAAATGTAATTATTTATTTTCTTGTGGCTAATTTTCCGGAACAGAAATAGATCAGATTTTTCTTGGCATTGTTTTTTTTGAAGGAGGTGTCAAACTTTCACGTAACATTTTCAGATGAAGAGGAAAGCGCTAAAAAATGGATGACCATCCAAGACATTTTTAGAGAATGTAATACTCCGTACACAAATATCTTTGGGGAAACGGTTGTACCTAGTTGCTTATCAATGCCTGGCTACAATAAAACATCATACATTGTCGTTTGTAAGTAGATTGTATCTTATCTATATCATCAGGTCCATCTCTGCTTCGTATCTAGCTCCCAAAAGAGTTCTAGGTTTGATTCGTTAAAGAAGTAGGGAATACATCAATGGCTTTGATTGTTGGACTTGAAATTTTATTGTTCTTCAGGGTACTCGTCTCTAATTCGCTGGAAATATGCATCTTGAATTTTTTTTGTTTTAGTGACATATAGGTGAAAATTTCTTGATATTTTAAATTATTTTTAAAGGCATCTTAATTTGAATCTGATAATTTTGATCAAAAATAATACAATTGGAAGCTGTACAGAACGGAACGGAAGAGAAAGCAACTCAGAAGAGGAATTGAGTAGGCTTAGATGGACAAGAAAGTCAGAAGCGAGTTCAAATGGCAACGTAATATTGCAAATGAACTTTCAACTGGACGAACCCATGAGCATGTAATAACTTAAATAACGTAGAGATCCGAAGATCTAGTATACAGTTCGGTACACAGAAACAACTGGTGACTACCAAGAAATTTTTAATTGTATGAATTTATTTTGTGGTTTGTTTCCTTTTAAACTTCAATTATTTCCGAAATTTCTTTACGTTAATGCGACCTAAGGAGAGCCTTGAATAATTTAAGTTCAATCCTGTATATACAAAGAGAATTAACCAATCCCTATGGTTTGTTGTGCTTTGAAACAATTGCCGAAAAGCAACCAATGCAACTTCATTATCGTGGCTGCAGCTGATGTAATTGATAACAAAATACGGTTGGAAAAGAAACCCTTGCTTAAAATATTTTTTTCGATGAATTTCAAATAAAAAATAAAGTTTAGCCATCTGATAAATATTTTTTCCGATCTGATAAAAAATAAAAATTAAGAAAAAAATAACCAGCTTCGAATTGGTTCTAACTTACGACAATGAGGTCATTTCCATTTTGAGTCTCAAAATGCCGTATCTGATGACAAATCGAGATTCTACTAATCTCTAAGATCTAGATGAACTATCAATGACATTAAAAATCGGGCTTTCAATCCAGGCTCAATGTAAGATAAATACGGAATAAAATTGTTCTCAAATTTGGGATGATCAGGACATGTAATTAAGGAACGAATCCAAATAAAAATATCTTGAAATGATCCGAAAGATTAATAATTTGTTATTTTGATCAGTTTACTCGGGATTCCCCTCCGTTGTAGATCCTTTTGAAACAACGTATGACGCAACCAGACAAAGAAATAGCGTGCAAGGTGTGAATGTTCATTTTCCAGAACAGTTCTGTTTCAGTTTCACCTTCAGATTCCCGACGCAACCAAGGGAGTATTATCTTCTGGAAATGAAATCAGTCAGTGTTAGGTCAGAGACGTAGGTTCCTTGGGGGCAGCTTTCCTGGCAGAGTGAGGTACGAGCAAAGGAGTTCTGTATACTCGCACATTCAAATTAAATATGATGACTCTTGCAGAACAAGCTAGCGTGTAAACCTGTTAGCTTAACTCAGAAAACCTATAGATCGGATAGCACTGAAAGCATTTTGTCACTCTTAAGAAAGTAGCGAGAGGCTCGAAAATATTTTTGAGATTTTGCAACAATAAACCAGTTCCAACTTGTATCTATTTTTTATCAACAACCTTGCTTCTATCTATAAAATATAATAGGTCTAAAACCACTGTTTGCTAACCGGTGTTGAATTCACACAACCGCTTCTAGATCATGGATATCTACAAGATTTTATGTACTATTTTCCAAACAACATTGATTTTGTAAAATATTTACCAAAAATACATATGAATTATATTTAATAGACTTTCTTAACATCTTATTGCTGTTGTCTCTAAGAATTGATCCGCGAAGCTTGAATCCGCATGCCTATCCACATCCGAAGAGCCCAAATTTATACGTTTGAAAATCAGCCTTCATTGCGTAATTACATTCCGATTCCCATACATTAGACAATTCAATCCTTTCACATAGACAATATTCTCTTCTTACGAAACCTATAGACAGCCTTTAGATCTGAGTATTCGCAAATGTAATATATGCCGTATCTTGAAGGTACAAACTGTATACCCCTAGATAATTAAAATGGTTGCAAAAAAGGGCAGAAAAATTCTCCCAATCTGTTCCCAAATGTTCAAAAAAATGAAGATCTAATTACACCCAGCCGAAAAGATGAATCTAAGAACTAATCAAACAGTAGCATTTCTTCCGCTCCACATACCATGTGAGTCGAATAACTATCCGAATAGACTAAAGCTACGACTTGGGACTCAATTTAAAAATCCGCTTAATCACGTGATCAAATTATCAACTGTTCTCTAGGAAAAGCGGTCTACACCAAAATCGCGGAATTCCAAGCAATTGGCATACTCGCGTTAAACTTTTCTCAGATCGTTTCGCATTTACCCGTTTTACACAAGGATTTTCACTGTAAAATCATAATAATAAAAAAAATGGGTGGGAAATTCGGTGGTACGGTCCATCCAATTACAAAATTTGCCCCTGAGGGTTTCCTGAGCGCGGAAGCGCATGGGCGGTGTTACAAGAAATCTACAACGGAGACGCTTCGGTGCTCTGTTATGGGAATGGCGCCGCGGATGGTTGGTCCTCCAACAATTAGAAGGAGGGACTATTTAGTGCAATTTGCGAACCTGATCTTATAGATTAGGCACCCGATACCGATCATCGATTTGAGTTAGGTTTTCTTTTTTTTTTATACGGGGGTTGGAACGGTTCGTTCGGTCCTTGGAGATTGATCGTCGTGGTAGAAAATTCTGGGCTCGCTGCTGTTCAATCCCCAGTTCGTAGAACGGAAAAAAATTGAAGAAAGATCTCTTCATGTTCTTTTAACTATTCAAAAACATACCCCAGACAGCATCAAAATATTGCAAATGCGATGATCATAGCTAGTATCAGGAGAATCTTTGCCTCATTTAGAACAGAAGAAGAAGAACGATTATATTCTCGTGCTGCATTTTTTAATCTATTAGGATTTCTCGGTTCCTGTGTTTTGTTTTCATTCGTTGCCCAACAATTATCACGTAATCCCAGAGAATTGGCTCATATTGCTCGAGCAGATGCATTACTTAGAGCATTACAAGGATAGCCATTGAAAATAATCGAATGGAAGATTTAACTTATATACAAAGAAAGTTCTAATATACACAGTTTCAAACAATACGCAAGAAACTTTAAAGTAGACAACTAAATAAAACAACGAAGCAGACGTGACAATTAATCATTAAAACTCGAATTGATAATTGCTAGACAAAAGATTGCTAACCTTTTAATAATATCTCAACATATTGTGAGAAGTAGGTCCCTGGTAACAATATGGATGTATAATATTCTATCAAAATTTTGTGTATACTGAAAAAAATTTAATATAAACAAAACAGAATAATCTCTCAACCTCTAATCAAAATTTCCTTAAACATTTCATAAGCTGTCCATGAAATTGCAGTACTTGGGACATTGAAGATGATTCTTGGTTTTAATCCTCTAGTAAATGCACCGATTCCACCTTGTTGATATAAGGCTCTAGCAGCACTTTTAAACCCATCGACATGTCTCAAGGATTCATTCTTGGTGATTCCTCGAGTTTGCAATGCAGTCTTGACACAGTCGAACGGATTGGTAAGGGCAGCAGCGATACCACCTGCAATACCACCAGCAACACAATGTAAGTATGGATCATATGTATGTGATGGATTTAATATAGATGATGAATATTCATAAAATCCAAAGTTTAATGCTGCAAAAGGAATATTAGTGAATAATGTTGTTGGATATGATATGTAAAAGGCACCGATCCCTTCTTTTCTATAAATGTCACCTGCTAATCTCATCAACCTTATTGAAGTTGATTTATTTTCTTGATACGCCGCACCTGCTTGCATTCGTTGTTTTAACATATCAAAGGGGGTCATTAAAGCATCGGAGGATGTGGTGGCAGCTATACCTGCAGCCAGCGCAAATATCGGGTGATTGGCATCAGTCACTATTTTATTGGAATGAGGGGAGTTTGTTAATCTGTTAACTAATAATGTCTTTGTTGACTCAAACACCGAGAAATAGACGGCATGAGCTGGACCAGCACCTAATACAACCGAAGAAACACCTTTCCATAAGGAATAGAACCCTTCACTAGAACTAATTCTAGAAATTGACTTTATCATACCACGGGAAACTGCTTCTGTTGAAAAGGACATTTGCATTCTTGTTTTAATTGAGTCAATAGGAAACATAACTGTATGTTCCATAATCCCGGCAAGCGCACCTGCACCCAAATGAGCTGCCAATGAGGCATCTTCTGGCAATGCCTCATAGTCTATTTCGACGGCATCTGTGGGAAAGAACTGGATCTGATGCTCCATTTGCGTTATATATATATCTTTATTTAAAAATGTTTGTGGATAATTTAAGGATACAGCAATTATCGTTCTCCCTATTTTTTCGTATAATTTTCCCTTTTCAAAAAGTGACAATTGCGATGAACTTCTATTACAATCTGGTTGTCCCTTCTAGCTGTATGTAAAATCAACAACAATTAAACCTGTAAGTGTCTAATAAAAAAAATCTGGAGGTATTCTTGCTCTTGCTAAAAAGGAAAGAAAGAGAAGAATGTTGAAATATTTTTTTTTATTTTATTTTATGACTGTGAAATGGATTTGGTGAAAAAAAACTCGGAAATGAAAATTGGAATGAGGTGTTTGAGGAATTTTTTTTTAAAGTTCAATTGTTTGGACGGGGTATTGCTCTGTAGCTAGATTTGTTATTTTAGGTTCGTAGAAAGACTTGTACTTAAACAGCTAGTTAGTTATTGTTTAGAGAGGTATCTAGAGAATAGCAATTAATAACCCTTTTTAAAAGTATTAATAATGTCCAAGGAATTGATGCCAAAAGATAAAAGACCGAGAAAAGTCAAAATGTGATTTGTAATACGAAAACGTTCTATATCCAACCGAGACACTACCAATTCTTTTTTTTTGATACAGACGAAGAAGAGATTACATACTCTTTTTACCAGACCTGCATCTACCGGACGGACTGTAAACTGCCAGCATACCCTAAGGAGCTGACGCAACAGTTACCGAGGACTCATCGGCTTTCGTTGACTCTCGCATTCTTCAGAGTCAAAAGATCCAGATCTGGACCCTTGTCCGAGGGGACATGGCTACTAGGATTCCCAAACACGAGAACATAATACAGATCAAACTTATGCGGTGTTCAATTAGCAAATGGACACATATACGCATTCAACACTTGTTAGATTTTGCAGCATTTCAGCATGGTGGAGTATTCATTGTCACTTGTGGATGGTAACCGAGGTTCGGGTCATAGTAGTGTAGATTGTCAAGTTTAAAGCCGAGCTCCGTTGCGTTTAACCTTGCTCTAATTTTATGCAGAAATAAGTATGCTTGGAAGCCGAAGAACTTCCTACTATTGATGCACCCTTCTTAGATGGCCCGAAATGCTATTGTAGGCAGTATCTTGTACATGTACCACTATTAGCAGTATCAAGCTGCAAATTTAAAGAGGCAAAAAAAGATTTGGTAATCAGATACGATCTCGGACCCGGGGCCAGCAATTTTTCAGACACAAAAAGCAGGTTCTGCCCAATCTGGATGATCACACCAAAAAATAGTGCAAAACCGACCGCCGGAGTCTCGCAAAAAGAGGCACCACTCATGCAAACCCTAATTTATATTATTATATGGCACGATGGCAAAATATCCAATGACGAAATGGATAATTATATAACTCGTAATTGCCGAATTACATGATGCTTATTTTTCGCTTGGATCGAGATTCCAAGTGTAATTATTACATGAAACAGAAGCTTGCATTGGCTGCAAATGTAAGCAACTGCGGGACTTTTAAGAATTGGAATTCACATACTAAGAGAATGAAGTGGAAATACATTTGAGAAACTAGGTAATGCAAAACTACAGAATTCATTTCTATATCCAGCCGGGCCCATCAAGAGGATTGACACTCGGAATAAGAGCGGTATACGTGCAGAGGACTGCGCAGAGGACTACATCGATGGACATTAAACTTGATAATCATGTATGATTGCAAACTGGACATACAAAAATAGAC